AAAGGTCAGTATGTTCAACCCCTGACACACACACCTGATATTGTGAAGACGGCTTACACATAACTGCATTATGGCAATTTCAAAAGAGCATTAAGGCATTCAAAATATGTATTACACTGACCGTTGTTAGTCTGAATGCTGAATGTGTTGTATGTACACAACAACCCGTCGTAACGTCAAGTTGCGACACAAACACGTAGCTTTCGTTCTTATACAAACGTACAGCCAAATAACAACAGTAACAACAACAATAGTCGCAAAGACGCAAGTAGTAGTAGCAGTAGTAGCTCTGTGACGCTCCGAGTTAGAGTAGGTTTTCAGCAACCCATGCTTGTCGTGAGAGGCGACAGACGGGATCGGATGATGAGGCTCGCTGACTTGGTCCATACATCGTATCCCAATTACGTATTGATGTCGTTATGTCAATCACAGGATTGTCACCATCCTGCTGGAGTGCGGCGTTAAACAACAAAACAATCCAAAGAGACAAACAGCAGTGGTAGAAGAAGAAGACACTAAAAGACTCACAAAACTAATATTTTATATATGTACACACCACATTTAATAGTAATTATGACAATAACATTCATAATATTATCCCCCGTACAAACATCCTTTTTACACACAAGCACATCCATTCCCACGTCCAGGCCTTCACTCACAGCAGCTTACTCAAACCACGCAAACACACCGGCTCATTCAAACACATCCAAACCCTCATTGACAACCAATCAAACACATCAGAACCCCCACCCACACCGTCACACCGTCATCATCATCATCACCATCATCATCCTGATGTCAATGGCTTCTTATAGTTTTCTTTGTCGCCAGTTGTTGTTGGTAGACAGGACTTTCAAAGACTTTCTAAAAAATAAAACGTGTTTTTGAGGATGATAATTGTAAAAAAAAGTTTGTTTTGAACATTTTGAGAATTTGCATTAATCATTTCGTGATCGTGAGGTGATAGACATGTTTGTTTTAGAATATCACGTAAACTGAATAAGGAATAAACGGAATAATCTCCTCGTAATGATGAACTACTTCCCTAATGCTATCGATAAAAAGATTTTTTCCTAATTATAGGTCTCCCTGCGGACAATCATTTCTTTTTAATATATCTGTTGACTCGACAAGGAAAGAAGATATCATTATACGACCGTGTTCCTTTACATTAAACACACAGTGTACAAGTGACATTAAACACACAGTGTACAAGTGACATTAAACACACTGTGTACAAGTGACATTAAACACACAGTGTACAAGTGACATTAAATACACAGTGTACAAGTGACATTAAACACACAGTGTACAAGTGACATTAAATACACAGTGTACAAGTGACATTAAATACACAGTGTACAAGTGACATTAAATACACAGTGTACAAGTGACATTAAATACACTGTGTACAAGTGACATTAAATACACTGTGTACAAGTGACATTAAATACACAGTGTACAAGTGACATTAAACACACTGTGTACCAGTTACATTAAATACACAGTGTACAAGTGACATTAAATACACTGCGTACAAGTGACATTAAATACACTGTGTACAAGTGACATTAAATATACAGTGTACAAGTGACATTAAATACACAGTGTACAAGTGACATTAAATACACAGTGTACAAGTGACATTAAATACACAGTTTGCAAGTGACATTAAATACACAGTGTACAAGTGACATTAAATACACAGTGTACAAGTGACATTAATTACACTGTGTACAAGTGACATTAAATACACACTGTGCAAGTGACATTAAATACACAGTGTACAAGTGGCATTAAATACATTGTGTACAAGTGACATTAAATACACAGTGTACAAGTGACATTAGATACACAGTGTACAAGTGTCTGACTACATTGTGACTTAATTACACTTCTAATGTTCGTTCGCTGAAGACATAATCCATTATTATGGCCAATAAAGACATCACGATTGAGAGATGCACAGATAGATGGAAAGGAACATCATGACAACATCATGGCGCCATCAACAATGTATTTGATACAGAGGATCAAAACCATTTGGGTAAAAAATAATAGATTAGTAATTTTAGATCGATGTATTCAAGAACGCATCAAGCAGTTACACAACAGTGTCCGTATAACATTATTGCAACGTAGACACAGATGTTGTTGGCAGGATGCCCAGCATTGACATAACAACAAGCAGTGGACCGGAGAACAAAGTAGACACAAGGTTTGGATAATAACTTCTTTAATTACTGTAAAGGCGTCGTGTTTCGGTATAGATCCTTATACTGTTGTCTAGTCTTGCGTTGCCTTTACAGTAATTAAAGAAGTTGTGTCTATTTTGGCTTTCGTCAAATTATAAGTAATGCCTATCAAATATTTAATAGTGGGAGAAGTTATAGTCAGTTTCTGGTGAACGGTGTTCACCCTGGTCGCATGTGCTAATGAATAAAATCATAATCATGTGAAAATTGCTGGTCTTCTATCAGTTAAACTAATTAATAAACTTGACACGGGTAGGCATATAAGAGTTCTTCACAGATGCACCGTTCACCATATTGTCATTGCTAACGCACAGGTTAATATCTTGTACATAGCTAATGTTCAAGGTGGACAAAAACAAAATCCTATTCTAGTTAATATGTTTAATGTATACTTAAGTATGTTATATAAACATACATATTTTACACTCTTTTAATTTTCTGTGACAATCCACAACATTGCAATGTTTTAGTTGTTTAAGTGGTATTATTTTAGTGAGTATGCATGCTGTATGCTTAAGTATGTTTTATAAATAGAAATAATATATAATATGTAAGCGATACGTGGCAGTTATGAAATAATTTCTTCTTCTTCTTCCATTATCGTTTTAGTTTTCTCTGACAAGTTGAACAAAGTTTGATACATAATATATCCTAATCCTCTTCAATCTTCATCTTATTCAGCGAAAGTCAGGTACAGTGGGGGTGACCGTTGGCAGATGTCTGGGGCATTTTCAAAACAGTGGGGTTCCGTCTATAGTCAAAGGGAAGTAACTCTTCCTTACCATTACTGATCTCTCGTTCCTGGGCCCCGATCCACTTATCATAGGCTTGCGAATGTAGCGCTTAGAACGTTTTGTGGATCGAGGCCCTGGTAAACATTTATTATGACAAAGAAATATGACTAATGAAAGTAGTTAGTGTGATGTATTCAGAAAACACGGATCAAACTAGGCACGTCACCAGATCTTCTCCTGTCAAATCCTAGCTCCACACGGAAACCCACATTGAACCAACCTAGGAGAATAAAACGAAGATCTTCGGCGTGACTAGCGAATACGTTAACCTTTAATTAGCCTATCAAATCAACTATAAAATTTGAAATTTGAGGAAGATGTTAGTGATCTATAAAAGAGATTTCTCTGCGCATCATAACGTAATCAGCGTAGTATCACTGCGGAATTAATCGGGGCACGGGTTGCCCAGTCGTCTCAGGCGCTGCAACATCTTTTATATAGATAACTTTTTACTATATCATCTTTATATCATTTATGTATAAATTCTGTGATAATTTGTCTCTCATAATTCTATTGAATGGTTCTGTACATTTTATTTATGTCAAGTTGTACAAAGCTGTTTTATGTATGTACAGAAGTGAGACGTTGTCTGCAATCCACTGTGCAGAGTTGCGTCCTTTGGGCACGCATGAAACCTATGATCGTGGGTTCGAATCTCGCTTTCCCCCGATAATGTTCCTAGGTTTGTCAACTCGACGGTTTCACAAAAGTGGTAGCGTTCAAGACCTGCATCACTTCGGGCTTCCTCACACATTAAGCTGACACGCCGCGATATAACTGGAATACTGTTCAAAGCGGCGTCAAAGGCAACTTACTCACTCAGGAAATGATCAATGACTATAATGGCAGTTTTATACTAAATTATGATGCACACAAACAGCCTACACCCTAAAGGAGAATTTTCACTAGTATATCCACTTGTGGCGTACATGGTGAATTCGTGCATAAATCATAATTAACCGAATCAATTAAATTGACTCGTACGTAAAGGACATACCACATGGAGGAAAAAAACGCCAAACATTCCCCCCCCCACCCCCCTCTCTCTCTGGTACTTGTTGTTACCCTGCCATGGCCATGGTCGGCTCGGAGTCAGTGTACTGTCTGAGTGGGGTATTCATGTTCAACTGCGGCATGGTATCTCAGTGGTCTACATGCACACACACGCACGCTCGCATGCAGATCATTTATGTCAACGCATATTTAAAAGTAACAATTTACATTTCAAATAATTGATGAAACAGTCCATTTCAGTTATTGGTGGTAATTTAATTATCACTATTGACAGTATCAGTTGACAGAATATAATAATAACACACACACACACACGCGCGCACGCACGCACACATACACGGGCGCGCGCGCGTGCATGCATGCATGTCTCAATACAAGTACAGTAATCTTGAACGCGATGCTGAGCCCATTTTCACCTCTCACTCTCTCTCCCACCCACTCAAGCGCAACATTTTTATGTTCAACGATATAACTGTAATATACACTGACCTACCTTGAAAACGAATATTCAGATTTTTTGTTATTTTTAATTTGTGTTATATTTGGCAAATTGGCAGAAAAAATCCAATTAAGTTGTTCTATGTATTTTGGCATGCGGTAATCATGCAAACACGACAGTGTCGTTGTTCGGCCTCGATTCTCATTCAGTGTGTTTCGAGATGTACTTGAACATAAAAACACATCTTGTCTGAGGCTTGAAAACATGATTATGCGTTTTCATTGTGTGTCAACACACCTGTTGCCTTATGGAGGAAGCGAAGGCCACAAACAAGTTCAAATAACCTGTTATGCAAATGAATGCTCCGTAAAAAGAATTAATTTAAACTAATCAATACTATCTTCGCCGTTCGAGTATTATATGCATATGTATATATTGAAATATTGGCTGTTTATATGTTGTTGGTTCGTTAACTGATTAACACACGACAGGCAATATCCTCGCTGGGCACTCTACCGCCACACTGCCGCTCTTCTGCGCATGTCACTGTAGAAATGGAAGGCTCACGTTTCCTGAGTGTGTCGGACTTCGAGGAGTACGCGAGAGGGAGGCATGGTCAGGCGGAGGCTTACTTCAACTCTGGGAGTTTCCTGGATCAGACACTCAAGGACAATGTGTCAGCGTATTCAAGGTGAGATGCCCGTTCAAGGTGGAACAACCTGTAAATCAGTCGTTGTGGTGATGTAACACACAGCGTAAACTGGTTCAACAAATTCACTTTTGTGAGAGAAACGCCCATAAAATCTTTACACGCAAAACAAAATAAACTATTGCTATTCAATTACAAAATAAAACATAAATGATATGTTTAATTTAAGTTTAATAACACCATAATCTGTGCAATTTTTTTAACCGAAAGATAAAATTTTGTAGTGTTGCCGAAGTAAACTGTCGAAGCTGATCTTTTATTAATATATAGATGATATTACATGTGTCGAGTGACGCCACTCGTGAAAATATCTCTCTCCCCCCCCCCCCCGTCATGAGCTGAGAGAAACATAATATTTCACTCGACACATAGAATATCCTATTTATTATATACTTTTTGTGTAGTTGTCTAGCGGCAAATTAAATTATTTCATTACAAATGTTAAACCTTGAAACGTAAATTCTCCCTACCTAACACACAGGGACGAGTCACCACTCCTTGTATTTGCGACTAAAAAAGTAATTTCGTGTTTGCAAATTCTTAAAAAAAAACATAAACAAAAGTACCAAAAAATATTTTAGGTCGCGAAAATACCGCATCATACATATAGATATGATTATATACAGTATCAACTTTAACCAAAAATGTTCTTGAAAACTTCGAGACCGCTGTTGGAAGCGAAAGAATACAGGGTGGTCAAGTAACAAAAATGGCGCTTTGCGAAACGACCGGTCTCGATTGAAGAGTTAAAGTGAGAAATTTAAAGATTAGAACGGAACATTTTCAAGAGAATAACAAATGTCATGAATCGATATTTACTCCATAAATGACCATCTGTCATTATTTTGCCTGTCAATGTGGAACTACCGTAAAAAGGTAGCCAACAGTTCGTGTACGTCCAGACACTTGCGATAAAGGGAGACAATTTGAGGGGAGGTCACTCTTATACTACAATAGTTCCGTCAAAGTGTTATGTTCACTGCAGTGAGATATCAAGTGTTATGTTAACTGCTGTGAAATATCAAGTGTTATGTTCACTGCAGTGAAATATCATTGAAAATTTCACTTTTCCTAACTTCGGAAAACTCGGTCTTCCACACTTAAGTATATAATAAATATATGTAAGACAGCTACGCGATAAATCGCAAAGAACAAATATAGTTTGATTCAAAACTTTAAAATCATAAAATATATCTTTCACATAATACACCCGTCCGCTGTTGATGCCTATCTTAGACATCTTTTCTTTGAAAATCAATAAATTTGCTTTTTTCGACAAAAAAATAAAAAACATTTCCAAAATGGTAAAGGTCATGTGGTTGCACATTCATTTTTTACCCCAGTCTTCATTGAACCTATTTATTTTGATACAAAATTGTCCAGCCACAGATTACTTGTTATAAACTGTAACGGAATGAGAGATGGTTAAATAGACACACTCAAATTTAACAACAGTTGTTTCAATGTTCAGTTACATAAAAATACTCGGTTTACTTTCTTTTGCCCCTCATTTTATCACCAACCAGTGTGGTATCACATTTCAAAGTCATTCCGCCCCCCTCGGTTTATTCCTTTAAGACAATACCAGCAACAGAGCAGTGATATTCCATGATTTCACTGTAAACGGTCCACCGACCTATCCCTCCGCAAATAGGTCCTACAAAATGACGCACGATTGGGAGAAAAGTTATTTTTAGAGAAATTATAGAAATAAGGTGTATAGTTTTGATAGCGAACAACATTTATAGATCACCACTACCGCCATATTGTGTAATGTGATGGTCACTTGGAGTATGTAGGAGTTATTATTGAAACATGTTTGCAGTTATCATACAGTAAACAACGTTTATAACGAACACGCTTATAACGAACTGAAGGCTATGGCGAACTTACTATTTGTCCCGACTATTTGGTGTAGTTATGCTTTTAATGAACTACGGTTATAACGAACTAAAATTAGTGATCCCTTTGAGTTCATTATAACCGTAGTTTATTGTATATTATATAGCCCAAAGTTGATCCCTGAGCTAGTATAGCTAAGTTGTTGTAATCACTGCCCCAAATCATCACAATTATAGGCTTGTTATTGTTGTGTGTCCAGATACCGGTTCCGACCGCGGGTGTTGAGGGATGTATCCCAGAGAGACATGTCCACTACAGTGCTGGGCAGTCCGGTTAGTTGTCCAGTGGGCGTGGCACCAATGGGCACGTGCTGTTTGGCTCATCCGGATGGGGAGATGGGAATAGCTAAAGGTATACCTACTGATGGTAGAGTTATAGGGAGGGTGGCATATTGACATGGCACTAGTGTGTATGGATGCATTGTTATGAGGATGTGAGGACACAAACCAATTATTCCATTAAGAACGATAGGAAGAAGGGGTAAGAACACATCTTTGACGTACTCCAACTGGAGTCAGTGAGTGAGTTGGGTTTAATGCCGCCTTTAACAGTATTCCAGTTATATCACGGCGTGTCAGCTTGATGTGGGAGGAAAGCCCGAAGTGATGAAGGTCTTAGACGTTTACCACTTCGGTGAAACCCACGAGCACGGATAAGGTGCTGACAAACCTAGAAATATAATTGGATTCGAACCCACAACCAGAGGTTTCTGGCGTGCCCAAGGGACACAACTCTACACAGCGAATTGCAGCGCCTCAGACGACTGGGACACCCGTACCCCCTCCTTCAGCTGGACATTTCAACATGTCTGTTCATACGTTTTCTGATTAAGAGACTTCGACTTTAGACTCGCGAAGATCCTGGCTAGAATAGGTCTTCAGCAACCCATGCTTGTCGTAGGAGGCAACTAACGGGGTCGGATGGTCAGACTCGCTGACATGGTTGATGCATGTCATCGTATCCCAGTTGAGAAGCTCGATGTTCATGATATCAATCACTGGATTGTTTGGTCCAGACTCAATTATTTACAGACCGCCGTCATATAGCTGGAATATTGCTGAGTGTGGCGTTAAACAACACACAAACAAACAGACAAAACTGCGACCTTAAAAACATCATTCACTCATTCACTTTGATCCAGAGGCCGGCTAAAATATCCTTTCGCGGATTTAATGCACACAAAGCTGAGAACCTGGACGTGAAATGACATGTGTCCTTCGTAATAAAACTCTGAACACTGTTGCAGCATGTGAGCGACTCCAGCTACCCTTTGGTCTGTCCACCGTCTCTACCGTCAGCATCGAGAACATCGCAGCCGGAGCTCCTCACAGCGTCAGGTGGTTCCAACTCTACATATTCAAAGAGCGTCGACTGACAGAAACGCTGGTGCGGAGAGCTGAGGCGGCTGGGTTCTCTGCCCTTGTTTTGACGGTTGATACACCGGTCGCCGGAAGGCGACTAGCTACCATGAAAGAAGGATTCAAATTTCCTGATCATCTCAGGTTAGAACTTAATTATGTCCTTTGTAACATATGGTCGATCCCTGAAGCCGTTTAATGTTTTCCTGAGAAGTCCTCCGTAGAGCGTCTGCCCGGAGAGCGGAAGGTCGGAGGTTCGATTCCCGGTCGCGCCATACCAAAAGACGTTGAAGATGGTATTTGTTGTTACCCTGTCTGGAGGTCGGCATTCAGGGGTTAAAACAAGGCCTGGTCGGCTCGGAGTCAGTATACTGTGTCTGAGTAGGGTACTGGTATTCATGTTAAACTGCGGTATGGTATCTCAATGGGCTTACACTATAAAATCGGCATTAGTCCTCACACACACACACACATGGCTATAAGCAATAACCTTGAAAGGACGTTAAACTCCATTTCACCCAACCTCACCTTCTTCAGATTACCGAACATCGACGCTTCTGACGGTATATTCGAATCTCTGAGAACGGAGGCAGCCAATGTGCCATATTTGGAAATTATTGGGAGGCAGATGGACCCGTCTATCACGTGGAATGATGTCAAATGGCTCCTAAAATTCACTCGATTGCCTGTTATTGTAAAGGGTGTTCTAACTGGTAAGTATATTTTGATTTTACTTTTTTCTGTCCAAAAGTAAATCAAAGATCCTGATATGCCTTAACTAATACAATACGAACAAGATCCATTCAGTCTTTCTTTCTGAAACTACAAATGACTCGTGGTATTTAGAAAGAAAAAAACCTATAACGTAACAAAATAATATTGGTAACAGCGGACCTGGGCAATCCGTACCCAGGGAGATCCGTACCCACACTGGGGGCACGGGTGGCCCAGTCGTCTAAGGCGCCGAGATTCGCACTGCAGAGTTGCGTCCCTTGGGCACGCCAGAAACCTATGATTGTGGGTTCGAATCCCGGTTCGCCCCGATTATGTTTCTAGGTTTGCACCTTACCCGTGCTCGTGGGTTTAACCGAAGTGGTTTACGTCTGAGACCTGCATCACTTCGGGCTTTCCTCCCACATTAAGCTGACACGCCGTGATATAACTGGAATACTGTTAAAAGCGGCGTTAAACCCAACTCACTCACTCCCGTACCCAGACTGTTTTGGCGGACTCTTACCCAAATGTTGGACAACCCGTACCCACTCGTACCTATCAACTGGATGACTCGTACCCTAAATAGCGAACCCGTACCCTATGAAAATATAGATGATTCGAAACGTTAAACATGAATCGGATTAAACATGTTTACAACTAAGACTTTGTTTGTTTTGTGTTTCAAAAACAATACGTGAGTAGTCCAATCACCGACTGTGTAAACTCGTTACACCGGCCGACTTCCAAGAATTTAGTAGTTTAATACTAAACACAATATACCACCAGATCCAACTGAGTTAACTTGATTTATTTAATCCTAATGTTATGAGTATATTAAAGGGGTAATGACTGTTTAGTAGTCATTCATTGAGTTATTTGGTTGTTTGTTCATTCACCAACTAATGAATGAAACTAATGAAAGAATGTTTGAAACGTATCATGAAAGAATGTTTGAAACGTATCATGAATGAATGTTTGAAATATATAATCATTATGAATGAATGTTTAAAATATATAATGAATGAATGTTTGAAATATATAATGAATGAATGTTTGAAATGTATAATGAATGAATGTTTGAAATGTATAATGAATGAATATTTGAAATGTAATAGTGCGATGAACACATTGCTAAGGAAGTGCAGGTCAGAATATATGAGAATTGAGTGCTGAATAAATGAATAGAAACATATTTTGGGGGTATTTTTTACGGTCTGTACCAGTTAAAGCAATCCCATTTCGGACATCATGCCTAAAAATAGATGGGTACGAGTCATCCAAATTTGTGCTCGGGACCTCAGATTGGGTACGGGTTTTCCAAACTTAGGTACAGATCAGACAAATAAAGTACGAAACAGGTACGAATCTGAGAGTTAGCCATTTTTGTGGGTACGGATCGGCTAGCGTTCGTTACAGACTGCACGCACCTTTTGGAATATCCCTGACTATCGATGTACCAGTGGAATGAAATTGAGGTGTATTAACAGGGAATAATGAACACAGTTACGCCAACAACCAATCTTGGTGATGATTCTTTCAGCTGAAGATTCGAGAGAGGCGGTATCTCAGGGAGTGTCGGCTATCTGGGTGTCAAATCACGGCGGGCGACAGTTAGACGGTGTACCGGCGTCGGTGAGTTTCAGGGGAGGTTACTCTCACCATAGAGCCCCCTTCCGGTTCAGTGTGAATTATCACACATTGACCGACTATCGAAAGCAACTATTTTAGGTCTTACCCCTTGCTGTAAACAGACAGCGAAATCGGGTTTTCCTCCCACATTAAGCTGCAATTTGTGATATATAACTGGTGTACTGTTCAAACTGGCTCACTACCTTCTGACAACCCGACCCCGTTAACTTAAATGTGTGAGGCCACCTAACGGGGTCAGGTGGTCCGACTCGATGACTTGGTTGATGCATGTCATCGTATCCTAACTGCGCAGGTTGATACTCATGATGTCAATCACTGGGTTGTCTGGTCTAGACACGATTATACAGATGCCGCTGTCATATAGTTGAACTATGCTGAGTGCAGCGTTGAACAGACATTTGAGTGAGTGAGTGAGTTGGGTTTAACGCCGCTTATAACAGTATTCCTGTTATATCACGGCTTTTGAACTGACATTTGAGAAGAATGGTTCAACTTTTGATAACCTATGCAGCACCATAGCATAATGTTCAGTTTAAATTCATATTTGAATTTCTAATTTTATATAAATTTATTACAATATATTTATATTAGGTTCTATCCATAGAGATAATTAAATTACTCTTAATAAGCGAAACCTGAGACCATATCGGTATATTGACTCTAGCGAAACGGACTGTTTCAGCAATTGTTTGAACTGTGTACTGATGCATTTAAATATGCGTCGATATAAATGATTCATGTTTTCGAACAGAAAATGCATACCTTCAGTGGTGTAGTGAAAAAAGAAACGTGATGGCATAACGACAACAACACTCTGCCGTGTATCGTGAGCCCAAGCCACTGTTAAAAACTCGTCGGATTTGTAATTTTCCGGATTTTAACAAAGGGCAGATAACTCTAACTTGCTTTCCCATATATTACCAAGCTCTCTATACTGTCGTTGCCACCAGTCACAACTCGCCACTGCGGTCACAACTATGCTTGGAGCTGGAACTCGCAACCGAATGACCGTTATGTTTACAAACAAGTGACGACTGTCGTGACGCCGAATACACTTACCGCTGCTAAATTACTTTCTTGGCTTGTCAGTTTGAATTTCTATTGCATTGGTTGGTTGGTTGGTTGGTTGTTTAACGCCGCACTAATCAATATTCCAGCTATATGACGGCGGTCTGAAAATAATCGAGTCTGGACCAGACAATCCAGTGGTTAATATCACGAGCATCGATCCACGCAATTGGGATCGATGACATGCATCAACCAAGTCAGCGAGCTTGACCACCCGATCCCGTTAGTCGCCTTTTACGACAAGCATTGTCATCCCTTACGACAAGCATGGGTTGCTGAAGACCTATTCTAATTATATAAACAACAAAGTAAATTCATATGGAAAGCATGATCGGTCGTTAACCTTTTTTAAAATAGAATATGATGGTATACCCAAAGACATAAAACTACATTTGGGGTTAGAGGCCAAATTTCAAGATTCTTGTAATGGCCGCACCCACACTGGTAGCAGCGATGTTACCGAGAGTGTAACGAAGGTGTCAGGCGTTGGGAAGGAGCTTGATGTATCACAGTGCAAGATGCGTGTCGTGTTTCTTAACCTGTTGTGTGTTGAGGCAGGTGGGGGATCTTATGACGTCTTGTCAGAGTACCTGCATAAAGATCATTTTAATACGGGAGATATCTACATAAGATTGTATCGTTCGGGTCAGTGGTGTTTGTAAAACAATAAAACAATAAATAAATAAAGGGCGCGTTGTCGCGAGCTAACTCAACTCATGTAAGTGAGTGAGTGAGAGAGTTTGGTTTTACGCCGCTTTTAGCAATATACCAGCAATATCACGGCGGGGGACACCAGAAATGGGCTTTACACATTGTACCCATGTCGGGATTCGAACCCAGGTCTTTGGCGTGACGAGCGAACGCTTTAACCCCTAGGCTACCCGACCGCCCCTCAACTCATGTAAATAACCGCCACCTTAAGGAAAAGAATTTGTGGATGTCAACTTCTTCATTACGAAGAACACAGCGTTACGGAGTAAATACTTAGTCCTTCATCATTAATGAAAGTGTTCGTATATATTCCGAAACGTTGTGTTCCTCAGAATAAAGAAGTTGACATCCATAAACTCTTCCTTATAAGTATCGCTTCTAAATGCCCCACAAAGATTTAACCGCCACCTTATAGATACAATTGAATATATCCTCCTGGTTTAAATTCTTTTCGAGGTCCCATTGGTGGTGACCCCCGCCGTGATATTGCTGGAATATTGCTCAAAGCGGCGTAAAAACATACTCACTCACTCTTTTCGGGGTACCATCTCCTATCGTTTATCAGGTGTTTCTCTTCCCTCGGACAATTAGACTGGCTCGAAAAAGTGCGTCGTAAAGCAACATTTATTTATCAACAGTTAGACGTCCTCGCCGAGGTCGTGGACGCTGTCGGCGATCGTTGTGAGGTGTACTTGGACGGCGGGGTCAGAAGCGGATATGACGTCATCAAGGCAATAGCTATCGGAGCCAGGGCTGTGTTCATCGGCAGGCCCGCATTGTGGGGACTCGTGCACAAGGTGAAGTGATGTGGTTTCTAAAGTAGACATATGTGTTGTAAGATATATGTTCACCTGCGTGACATAGATATCGGTATTAAGCCTGTTTGTTGTTATGCATAAACGTAGGAGAGAAGTTGCTGGAAGACATTCTAGGGTTTGTCATGACATTGTGTCGGCCATGTTTCACATACATACAAGGACATCTTGTTACGCAAGTTATCCCTCCTTACAGGGTACAGAGGGCGTTGTTAATCTCCTACAGCTGGTAAAGGATGAAGTGGATAACGCCATGGCGCTTCTTGGTACGTTGGTGACCGATGTTGTCTTGCTATCAGCAATATACACAGATGTCATGTCCCTGTCCCCCCACCCTACGGTATTTAATGCACTGTCGACGCCTCGTCTATCTGTCCGTCCGTCCGTCTGTCCGTAATCATTTCGTTTTCGGAGCACAACCCGACTGAACAGATATATCAAACAGACCCTGAAGAAGTGCCTTTTTCTTTTTTGGCATTTTTGGCATTCTAATTTTTCTCCATTTCCATGAAAACAATTGGACTTGGTCTCGAGATGGGGTGTATGTTAGTTTCAGAGCAGATCTTGAAAATCATGAAATATTATGTAAGTAAACATGCCTGGTTCAATCATCCTGAAGTGATGCCTATATTTTGAATTTTTAAGGAATATTTTCCCCGTTTCCATGGAGACAAATTGGACTTGGTCTGAAATGGTCTTGGTGTTTTTTTAGAGAGCAGAACCTGAAAACCTTTAATATTTTTATCAAGACTTTGAAAATGTGTTTCAATAAAATACTGATTCTTTGATCGGTTTGCGTGATTTCGTCTTTCATAATGACAGTTGTCAGGAACTATTATCATTGGGTAAACATCTGACAATGATGAAAATTGGGGGCTGGGGGATATCTCATCTTCTGATGACTCTTGTTATTTGAAATAAACTTTATAATTACATATTATAAATTCGGTTGGATATAAGCAAACTGCACTCGATTCATTTGTATGCCAGGTTTGAAGTGGTCCCAAGCTACCTATACTTGTAGATGCATGATGGGTCAGGTGGTAATGCTTGTTGACTTGTCTGATTGTCATCGTATACCGACTGCATGGATTGATGTCCATGCTGTCAATTACTGGATTTTCTGATTCGAATATTTACATACCGCCGTCATATAGCTGGAATATTGCTGAAAAACAAACAAACAAACAAACAAAAACACAAACTGTGTAATGTTTTATGCACACATTAAACATATTTCTCCCTGTTTCAGGCGTAACAACCATCAGCGAAGTGCATCGAGGTCACGTGGTACACGAGTCCTTCCTTCCGAAGCTGTGATCTTTTCCAGTGTGTGTGTGCGCGTGCGTACATGCGTGGAACTGTCTGTCTGTCTGTGTGTGTGTGTGTGTGTGTGCGTGTGCGTGTGCGTATGCGTACACGTGTGTATACGTGGAACTCTGTGTGTGTGTGTGTGTGTGTGTGTGTGTTACTCAGAGGAATACGAGTACAATGTATGTACGTATTAATCAGACGGTAATGCCAACATATTCAAATATATTTGGCACGAGGATTCGTGTGACAGACAGCAGACCTCGGTGGTGAGTTACGTCCCTTTGTAGAGTACGGTCGGTGGGATCCAGATCCTGAGATTATTCATAATATAATTCATGTTCATATTCAAATATTTGCGCTCCATAAACAAACAATAAACTATTCGTGCAATAGATTGAGTAATTCTTATTTACATATTTGGATGCATAGCAACCGGATGCACTGCGTTTGACAGGTGAATGCTTTCAAGGTAGTGTCTACGAAACTAGAAAAGTCACGAATCACACTCGAGTTTCAAGAACTTTAATCAGGCTACTGGAGTACGAGTTACGGGTTAAACGATTAGACGTCCAGCTACATGCAGCTCATCTCCATGCTCCGTGTTGTGTACCTGAGAAATCGTCATATAACCAACAGACGTCAATGGTGTACACATCGTCAAAACGTGGGTAATCGTCGCTGGTCACGTGTCATGTTTTCAGATGTTTGTTTGTTGTTTAAAGCCGCACTCAGCAATATTCCAGCTATATAACGACGGTCTGTAAATAATCGAATCTGAACCAGACAATCCAGTGATGGACATCATGAGATCGATCCACGGAACTGGGGGATACGATACCAAGTCAGCGATCCTGACCAACCAATCGCCTCTTACCACAAACCTATTCTACCTCGGACCTTCACGGTGTTTAGGAACCCATGCTTGCCGTAAAAAACGACTATGCTTGTCCAAAGTTTACTGTAATGATAGTATATCAGGGTATTCTTAAATTAAACTCAAATAAATGTAACCAGTGTATAGTATATACTGTCCCACATCATGGCCATTGTTCAAGTTATTTGCTTATCTGGCCAAGAGGTGAACCGTTTTAGCGGTTTGTTTATACACCCCTCAAGGTGTCGCCTTCCTGAGAATAAACCAGCGGGACAACACCAAAAATCGAAACGCGGCATTATTAAAGATTGAGATGTCAACTGGAATTTCACAAAGGGAGAAACAGTTTCAAAGACCACTTTTCCATTGTCTAGCATTCCGTGATCGAGTGTCTCCAAGGTGTCAACTCTGCTCTTGTAATATTAATACACTGTAGAACACACAAGTAGCTCTACGTCATCTGCCTTTACATAATGATTGTTCTTATTTCTACTGGGGGCGGTCGGGTAGCCTAGTGGTTAAAGCGTTCGCTCGTCACGCCGAAGACCCGGGTTCTATTCCCGACATAGGTCCAATGTGTAAAACCCATTTCTGGTGTCCCCCGCCGTGATATTGCTGGAATATTGCTAAAAGCGGCGTAAAACCATACTCGCTCCACTCACTCACTAATGTATACTCAACAACAAAAGTTCCTGTGACACCAATATTTTAGTGTATTTTAGTATTTAGTATTTTAGTAAAATTTTGGAGTACATGTATGGAATCAAGTCACAAAAACGCAACTGCTACAGAAAAGCATGCATTCCATGCAAAAGTTGACATTTATGCAAGCCCCATGCATTTCACTACCCATGAATGGGTATCAAAACGTGTGCGTTAACGGCATTCTATATGCATTGTTTAGCATCGTGCTGACAACAACCACTCAGAAAAACAACAAAATTACGCAATTATTCAACATTACGAAATGCCACGCCTGTCCGAAAAAGAGCGTCTGCGAGCCATTGGTATGCTTGAAGCAGGATCGAGTCAACGTGATGTTGCAAGACAATTTAACGTTAAACACCATTTAGTGTTTATGGCAACGTTGGCAACAGACGAGTGCGGTCAGAGACCATCCTCGGAGTGGCAGGCCACGCGTAACAAATTATCGACAAGACAACTGTATTCGAACAACACACCTACGAAATCGCTTCCAGCCAGCAACAATGACTGCAAGAAGCATCCCTGGCCTTCGACGAATATCTTCACAAACCGTACGTCGTCGCCTCAGATGTGTAGGGACTGTCGCCAGAAGACCCGCCAGACGTCCCATTTTGACAGGAAACCACAGTCAAGCACGTCTACAGTGGTGCACACAGCGTCTTTGCTGGACGACCATGCAGTGGGGACAAGTTCTATTCACTGACGAGTCTCGTTTTCACCTCAGCCACAGCGGTGGACGGATTCGTGTATACCGACGTCGAGGTGAACGTTACGTCAATCATTATGTCATGGAAGGAGATCAGTTCGGGGGCGGCGAGACCCGTTTGATAGTGGTAGAGGGAAACCTCTACCGCGACGAGATCATCGGCCCTGTTGTTCTACCGTTTTTGCGTCGTCATAGCCATGGCATTATCTTTCAACATGACAACGCCCGGCCTCATATTGCTCGACTTGTTCAGGATTCTCTTCAACAAAACAACGTGAATGTCATCCCCTGGCCGGCTCGCTCCCCTGATCTCTCACCAATCGAGCACACGTGGGATGAGATGGATCGGCGCCTTCGACGTCAACCACGTGTTCCACAGACACTCCAGGAACTTCGAAACATGCTCCAGCAGATATGGACAGATATCCCACAGGACTTTGTGCGACGCCTGGTCCATTCCATGAGACGAAGATGTGTTGCTTGCATCGCAACCAGAGGTGGACACACACGCTATTGATTTGTAAATTGACCTTTTGGCATGTTCATGGGTTGTTTTTTTTTAATGAAATCAGGCATTTTCTGAAGTCAGTATGGCAAATTAAACCATTTTTACACTTACGGAAATCTTTTATCTGTTGCTAACCGAAATTGTTTCAGATTTGGTAAAAAACATAACTTTGCATTAAATCTTATTCAATGTCACAGGAACTTTTGTTGTTCAGTATATAAAAACCCAATAAAACAATCGACGACATCAATAATCGTTTATGATTCTACCATAACACTGAAGAATTTTCTTATTGGTTAAAATCAGGTATCTAATCGATACCTCAAAATTTAACATGTCTTTTCTATCTACAGCCTGCACATAACATTTGCTACCGAGAGCCGATTCGAACTCTGTACGTTCAATATCAGAGCAACAGTTTACGAAATATGATGAAATCCGTTTCCGAACACATACCATTAAGTAAAACATGCACTAACAACGTAGTCAGGGCCACACAATCACTGGTCACAAAAAATTGCAGTCTCTCTCGTGTCAGTCTGCGGCTGTTCAGGCAAACTTCAGGGGTTCCGTTGGCAATGAGGTTGTGCCATTATGCTTATTTCCACCAGTAAATCATCACTTTCAAGCGCTCGGTTCCAAATTAAAACAAGAAAATAGCGTTATCACTATCCCCCGCCATTGGGACACATTAGAATTCTGTTTGTTTACAAGTAGAAAGTTATAAATATGAATTATAGAAAAAAAGGTTAAAAAATCAAAAACTAAAGAAGAGATAGGCATTAGGGTTGCTTTATGTAATCAGAAAAAAAATGAAAACGTGAAATTAATACACACACAAGGTCCCTTCTCTGGAAAAATAATTCAGTAGTTTCTTAGAACCTGTCCACATTGCAGACACTATGCACTTTGTAAAATAACATGGAACAAGGGCCGGAACTGTGTATGCTCAAAACAAAAATAAAAAACAAAAACTTGAAGCAAGGGAAATAACCCAGGAAAGAAATAATTGACGGGACCAATTTTCGAACTCAGCCTTGACAAGTATCTCTTATATAAGCATGCACTCTTTCATTCATGTAATTGCAGTAGTTTCTGAGGAATCTTTTCCCCCATTTCACGCAGTTGAAAAGCACTGAGCAAGGGCCATGAGATCAAACGAATTTAAGACACCAGTTTGCGAACTCATTTAAGATGTGTAACATTGCATTTCTCCAACTGAAATAGTTTTTGAGAAAATTAATTCCCTTTGAGAAGCGGACGGACGGACGAAAACACGGAAAAGGTATCTCCTAAATACTAGTGCTCACACAGTCTTGACATGCTTTCATACTGATTAGATACTCGCAACCTTGAAGCTAAAGATAGCCTTAAATCTGTGTCAGTTTGGTCTTAACCTCCTGTACAACACACCTGTACATTAGTGTTCCTGGACGTGACCCCCGAAGCATGCAAACGTCTTCTCCCCCCTTACTCTGTGTAGAGGACTATGAGGCTTATGCTAAGGACAAGCTCCCTTCCATGGTTGAGAATTACTTCAAGGCAGGATCATCGTTGGAGCAGACAGTGCAAGAAAACTCGCTGGTGTATAGGAGGTAGTGTGAGTGAATGAGTGAGTGAGTGAGCAAGCAGGGGTTTAAGTTCCTACAGTGTTTACCCTCATACAGTTGTTACTACAGTGTTTACCCTCATACAGTTGTTACTACAGTGTTTACCCCCATACAGTTGTTACTACAGTGTTTACCCCCATACAGTTGTTACTACAGTGTTTACCCCCATACAATTGTTACTACAGTGTTTACCCTCATACAGTTGTTACTACAGTGTTTACCCTCATACAGTTGTTACTACAGTGTTTACCCTCATACAGTTGTTACTACAGTGTTTACCCCCATACAGTTGTTACTACAGCGTTTACCCCCATACAATTGTTACTACAGTGTTTACCCTCATACAGTTGTTACTACAGTGTTTACCCTCATACAGTTGTTACTACAGTGTTTACCCTCATACAGTTGTTACTACAGTGTTTACCCCCATACAGTTGTTACTACAGTGTTTACCCTCATACAGTTGTATCTTCCATGTTCACACTGATTTGGATTCAGTATCATGTTCGTGTTCGTGGGTTTCACCGAGTTGGTGAGGTCTGAGGTGAGGTGAAATGGGGTTTAACGTCGCGTCCAAGACTATTGCACTCATATAGCATGCACTTGTATCTGTGTGTGTGGATGCTTGTACTTGTCCGGACTGATGCCGATTTATAGTGCTAGCCCACTGAGATACCATGCCGCAGTTTTAACATGAATACCCCACTCAGACACAGTATACTGATTCCGAGCCGACCGTCCTTGTTTTAGCCCCTTAATGCCGAGCGCCAGACAGGGTAACAACAAGTACCATCTCTTAACGTCTTTTGGTATGACGCGGCCGGGGATCGAACCTCGGACCTTCCGCTCTCCGGGTGGACGCTCTACCACACGACCACGAAGGCAAACGTCTGAGATCTGCTTCACTAAACTCTGCTGAGGCCCGTGAAGGTCCGAGTTAGAATAGGTCCTCAGCAAACCAATGCTTGCCGTTCTTGTTCTTGTCGTAAGAGTGGGTGGTCAAGCTTGGTTGATGCATGTCATCGTAACCCAATTGCGTGGATCGATGCTCATGGTGTCAATCACTGGATTGTCTGGTCCAGATTCGATTATTTACAGACCGCCGTGATATAGCTGGAATACTGCTGAGTGCGGCGTTAAACAACAAACAAACAAAAACCCTGCTGAGAGACCTAGATGTAGTAATCGAGTGACACCAGACAATCGTCCGATATCTATTTTACTCGAGCATTGATACTTACCTTAAATTTGTAACATTTCGCTAATGCACGTCATTGAAACATGGTTTATTAAAAGCGTGTTATTGTTGTGTGTCCAGATACCGATTCCGTCCCCGGGTGTTGAGGGACGTATCCAAGAGAGACATGTCCACTACAGTGCTGGGCAGTCCGGTCAGTTGTCCAGTGGGCGTGGCTCCCATGTCTATATGCCGCATGGCTCACCTGGATGGGGAGATGGGAATAGCTAAAGGTTTGTTTGTTTGTTGTTTGACGCCTCTTCCAGCAATATTCCAGCTCTATGACATCGGTCTGAAATAATCTAGTCTGGACCAAACAATCCAGTGATTGATGACATGAGTAACGATCTACGCAATTTGGATACGATGACATGACTCTACCAAGTCAGTGAGTCTGGCCACCCAATCGCGTTATTCGGCTTTAACTACAAGCATGGGTTGCTGAAGACAAATTCTACCCGGATTTATACGGGTAGCTGAAAGTAGACCGCAAGTAGGCGTGGCAGCAATGTGTACGGTTACCGAGACAAATCTGACAAACGTGATCATAGTATCCATTTACAATGAATATTATTATGTTTTTAATATGCGGTACATTCTACTATTTACCTTATTGTACACTAGTGTATCAAATCTTCGACTATAACTCTGAACGTTGTTGCAGCATGTGAGCGACTCCAGCTACCCTTTGGTCTGTCTACCGTCTCAACATTCAGCATTGAAGACATAGCAGTCGGAGCTCCCAACAGCGTCAGGTGGTTCCAACTCTACATATTCAAGGAGCGTAGCCTGACAGAAACGCTGGTGCGGAGAGCTGAGGCGGCTGGGTTCTCTGCCCTTGTTTTGACGGTAGATGCACCGGTCGCCGGTAGGAGGTTGTCCTCCATGAGAGAAGGATTTACAGTTCCGGGTCATCTCAGGTTTCAGACTTATTTTTATCTATTGACCTTCTGTAGTTTTAAGTAGTGGGCTTTTACATGGCTTGGCATATGTTTTGATTGCGATTGGGTGGTTCTGTTGTAAACATTACGCCTTCGATTTCTGCCACTAAATTACCGCCTTCAAAACACGAAACAAACGTCCATTGAACTAAACTAGTGTCCAAAAGAAACGATACCACCTGTTTGCAACGACATAAAAGAAAAACTAAACAATGCAGAAGTTTAGGATTGGTGTTATGCTTTTGAGAAATCCTTTCGAGGTGGTCCCATAAGTGCTCGATGGGATTCATGTCCGGTGAACATGCGGGCCATGGCAAAACCTGTACGTTGGCGTTTGCAAGGAAGTTCTGTGTCAATCTTGCTGTGTGTGGCCTTGCATTGTCATGTTGGAAAAGGAGTCCACGAGGCTGTTGCTGAATAAAGGGCACCACAACAGGCCGTAGGATGTCATCAAGATAACGCTGTGCATTCAGGTTTCCACGAATTACGACAAGCATCGTTTTGACGTCACCACATATGCCACCCCAAACCATTAACCCTCCACCTCCAAACGGCCGGACCTGTTGGATACAGTTAGGCGCCAAACGTTCACCAAATCGTCGGTATACAAGCTGCCGTCCATCGTTTCTGAAGATGAGGAATCTGCTCTCATCAGAGAACATAACACGTGCCCAGTCCCGCCGTTGCCAACGTCGAACTCGCCTGGCCCAGATCAGTCTGTTGTTCCGGTGTCGAGGCGTCAGGAGCGGTCCGCGGTAGGGATGACGTGGCCGGATACCATACTGCCGTAGTCTCCTGTAGACGGTCTGTCGTCTGATCCTGTGTCCCAGTGCTGTAGCCGCCGTGGACGTCGCTGTTACGGTGCGGTTCCTCAGGTGTAATACCCGGATGTAACGATCTTCACGGGGCGTGGTTACTCGTGGTCTTCCACTCCTGGGCCTGTCTGACGTCTGACCTGTCTGACGTAACCGCTGCACCAACCTGGTGATAGTGATGCGTGCGCAGCCCAACCTTCTGGCGACGTCGACGTGTGACGCTCCTTGTTGGACCATTCCAACGGCTCTCTCTCTCTCGAAGGCTGTCAAACGTGGCATATCTTGTGTTCTTTTTGTTGCTGTGATATCAACGTGTCTGATCAGCCGTATTATACAGTTTTTCTGCACGTGCAGAACATGCTAGAGAGGGAAATGTCACTTTCACGAAATTTACGTTTTTTCCCGGAAGTGATCACGTGTTCCCGGTATTTTTTATCGACTATGCTGTGTTTGGGATGTGCAATACGAATTGGCATGTTTTCATACTTGACAATTCACTTAGTAAAAAACAATTTTGAAAATAAGTTGGTATCGTTTCTTTTGGACACTAGTTTAGTATGTGAGTGAGTATGGTTTTACACCGCTTTTAGCAATATTCCAACAATATCACAATGGGGATACTAGAAATGGGATTCACACCTTATAACCATGTCGGGAATCGAACCAGGGCTTTTGGTGTGACGAGCGAAAGCATTAACCACTAAGCTACCCCATCGCTCCTCAATTTAACTGGCATTCTATATTTCGACTTAATTCTCGTATCCTCAGAATTGCTGAATATTGGCCTAAAACCTATCCGGCGAGGTGGCCGTCAATTTAATCAGCAAGTTGAAAACATTTGTTTGACCAATCAGAATTGGTCTTTGTATTTTTTGTTTGTTTAAGGTCCTGCAATATGCAATATGCAATAATGCAATATTGCGGGGGACTGTACATGACTAATGTGACTGATATGTCGAGCTACGTCCAAGGTAGGCGTCGGTGTATACGATGACAATCAACCAAGTCCCCGAACCAGACCACCCGATCCATCTGGTCCCATTATATGAGAAGCATAGTTTGCCGGGGATCAGTTCTAACCCGGAATCCCCATGGTAGAATATAACGTTTTCTCCATGCAAGGGGCAGTTGGATGTATCGGACGAATAGAAATCATATTAACTCAGATCATTTACCTCGATACGATACATTTCTGTGTGAAGATCGGAGGGCACTTCCACAGAACGTCGCGTCAGGTGATGTTTCTCTTCAGCCAACCAGCGTCGTGGCTTATAAAATCTCGATACGAGAGACCGAAGCATTCAGATAAAAATATCTGATTCCTGTATCCAGAAAGCGAATATGATCGGGAACATCCGAAGGCCAAAAACTAAATCCACTTCATTATATTTTTGTGGATATGTTGTACAACCTCTCGTTTCTGAGCATGGCATCTACACCAGATGGGAAGTATGATCGAAGGAATGTGTGTGTCATGTGTGAGATGTGTGGGATTCGATTCGATTCCAAATCGAAGTGAAGAAAAAATGAAGCCGATTTGTTTTAGAATTCTGACATCTGAATGATCAAGAACCTACGCATCCTTCATTTATATTGGGCCTTCAAAGTTCCCTGTTCCCTCGACGCAACCTTCTACGGTATATAGGCGTCCTCCGTTCGGCACGCAGATAGGTATTATATCGGAGTAAACGGCTCATTATAATAAGATTTGACGAGTGGTGAGCTCATATACATATATATACGCTGAAAATGTTTTCGGATTCAATTGTTTATTTCCGATCATTTAATTTACCTCCGTTTTACTGTAGTGCAGCTCAGTATATCGTGTTCAGGCCGGTTGATGTTTTTCTTCAGATTACCGAACATCGACGCTTCTGATGGTATATTCAAATCTCTGAGAACGGAGGCAGCCAATGTGCCATATTTGGAAATTGTTGGGAGTCAGTTGGACCCATCGATCACGTGGGATGGCGTCAAATGGCTCTTAAACTTCACGCGACTGCCTGTTATTGTAAAGGGTGTTTTAAATGGTAAATGGTCATTAAATTTTGTGAATGGGTGAGCAATGAACCAATCACAGCCCATAATGCAACCATTACTTTTCAGTTAAGAGGTCTTCTCAAAGATTAAATGCTCTTTCTTAGAACATGATTGACTTGACAGGATTGCCTTTTCAAGAAGTAATATTAACATTTTCAACAGTAAAGAACTCCAAATATCAGAATATTCCCTTGACATAATAATCATAAAAAAATCGAACAATTAAATGATGCACATTGTTATGTAATATCCAATCCCGATAACGCTTTCAGCTGAAGATGCGAGAGATGCGGTATCTCACGGAGTGTCGGCTATCTGGGTGTCAAATCACGGCGGGCGACAGTTAGACGGTGTACCGGCCTCGGTGAGTGTCAGGAGAGTTTACTCTCTTTATGGAAGTTCTTTTCGGGGTGTGAATTACACGTACAAACTGACGGTGACAAAAGAGCCAAACACCTGTTGCCAAATATGCAAATGAGTAGACAACTGATCATCATAGGGTGAGTGAGTGAGTGGGTTGATGGAGTGAGTGAGTGACAAAATTAGTGAGTGAGTATGGGTTTACCCCGCTTTCAGCAATACTCCAGCACCAGATATGGGACACCAGAAATGGGCTTCACACAATGTATCCATAACAAAATGAGTGCGAGTGAATGATTGATCGTTGTAAATGATCGAAGCCCACAAAAATTGCTCTATTTTAAAATCCCTTTCACGTTATTTTTATGTTAATTTGGTTCAGCTTTTGAACGTCCGTTTATATTAGTGTATTGTAGTTTGATGAACGTTTACTATTTGCATAACAATGGCAAGTTTTTATCATCAGTGGTGCATTGACCAAGAAACGTTATATGCCTCAGAGACGGGGCATGCAGATTTATTGGGCCAAAGCCAGCATGTCGCTGCGTGTCGGTTTGTGTAGAGATGGAATACATGCATGGCTGTTTTATGTTATATTGTTATCCATGTGACAGAAGGTGTTTGGTGAGCCTGACGTGGCTTTCTGAGATCGGGTTTCGTCGAATCATTCTGGGAACATCTGTTGACAGACGAGGAAGGTCATCTTCCCGAGGCAAGGGAGTTAACTGACTATAAAAGTCCAGTTTCCACCCTTGCCGAACTAGGCTTGAATTTCTGGGCTCGATCGTGGCGCCACCATTACGAGTTATGTCCCTTCTATGTCGCTCCTATTTAGCAGTCAGATTCAATCTCTCAAATCACTTGCATTTGTTTCAAACAAAATAGCGGCGCCAGGTCAAGACGATCTGATCGATAATCAAACTTTACATTGAAATAAAACGAGTCTTACCCTGCAAAGTACATCAAATCCTGTGAGGACCTTGATTAAAAACATGAAAAGATTTGGAAATATCTCCACGCCAAGTGCTTAGCAAATCCTGCTGTCGACCGAAATCTGCACGTTGAAATCCATGTTGCTTACGAACCGGATGTCTAGTGGACTGTTTAGTCCAGCCAAAATATAACTCCGGAATTCCAGTCTAGTTCGGCAAGGGTGGAAACTGGACTTTTTCTCCCTTGCCTCGGGAAGATGACGGAGGATGAGTGTTATTTGTGCCACCCGAAGGGCAATGTAGAGAAATTCGCCCGAACCGAGCCATAGAAACGAACGCCATTACTTGTCTGTCCCACAACTAATGCTGACACCAAAGTTTATTTTGTTTATTGAAAACATAATTATCACATTCAAAACGCTACTTACTAGCAGCGAAGTCAAGGACAAAAGTGCATATATGGTTATGAATATCCATATGCGCAATGTTATTTTTCGTGCTGGGCATACTGTTTCGCAAGTCTACCCATGAAGTTGACACCATACTATATTTTGTTCTTCTCGTGATCAGAATGTAAAATTTGAAAGTTAACGGTGCGGTGGGGTAGTCTAGTGGTTAAAGCGTTCGCTCTTCACGCCTAATGCCCGGGTTCGATTGTAGACATAGGTACAATGTGATATCCCTTGCGTTGTTATTACTGGAATATTGCTAAAGCGGCGTAAAACCATACTCACTGACTCAAATGTTGCCGCCCGTGTCAGGAAACGATGGTCTTGGCTTCGAATGCCAGATCCGGCCGCATTATGATCATAGTTTTTCACCGCCTCTCGAAAGTTTCACCGAAGCGGTAACCGTCTAACCGTCACTTCGAGCTTTCCTTCCACACGCCGTGTTATTACTCAAAATGTTCAAAGCGGCTTTACACACTATTCATTTGCTCATTCTGAGGCTCTACATGGGGGAGGCAATGTTATACAACTAAAAATATTGTATGATATATTTTATACTCCTAACAGTTAGACGTCCTCGCCGAGGTCGTGGACGCTGTCGGCGATCGTTGTGAGGTTTACTTGGACGGTGGCGTCAGAAGCGGATATGACGTCATCAAGGCTATAGCAATCGGAGCCAGGGCTGTGTTCATGGGCAGGCCCGCATTATGGGGACTCGTGCACAAGGTGAAGTGATGTGGTTTGTAACGGAGACTCGCATTAGTTCCTGTAGTCAACACAGGCTTTCTATCCCGTGACTTAATGGATCGGGTGGTCAGACTAGGTGACGTAGTTGATGGCGTGACATCGTACCTCGTTGGATCGTTGCTCACAATCAATCACTGGATTGTCTGACCCAGACTCTATTATTTACATATAGCTAAAGGATTATTTATTAGGGCCGCTTTAAAAAATACACACACACCCCTTTCCAACGTTCGCGCACACAATGAATGATCTTTGTGAAGTTTAATCATAACAGGAATGGAATCTGGGTGTTCCGCGTCATGGGCGAATGGTCCGACCCGTTAAACAAAAGTCTTTCCCGCCTCAGTTGGAAATGTTGTGGTAAATAAAAGCAACCAAAACATTACCCCAAAAAATCTCTGCTAAAAGCAGAATCAATTATACGATTCCGACTGCATCATGAGCATGTGTTTATAAATCACTATCTAACTGGAATGATACAGTGCTCGTGAAAAGAAGAGCGTATCCTGCCCCATCGGTGGTCCCCGCCACAAACACACGCAAAGGCAAGTCAATTGTTCACCTCAAAGACACGGGTACATAAGGTACAAGTCAAAATAGGGACTTGCATTGGACATTACCTTGTGTTACTGATGCGTCACATTGATAAATACGTTATGAGTGCAGTGAGTGAGTGAATGGTGTTTTTACGCATTAGTAAGGTATAAACAATTTGGCTTATAATACAATGTATTCGAGCCCGACAAGCCAGTTGTTGATAGCATGAATAACGATCTACACACATCTTCCTGGGGCAAGGGAGTGAACTGACTGTAAAAATCCAGTTTCCGCGGACTTTTATAGTCAGTTCACTCCCTTGCCTCCGGAAGATGAGTCACACATTAAGATCACATGTTCTTTGTGTGTGTGTGCTTGTGACATGCAGGGGATGCTGGGTACTTTTTCTAAGCCGGAATCCCCGAGAGGTCAGTAGGTACCACCATGGTAGTAGTGGTATTAATACCAGTGACAGCCTTGAGCTGTTCGTAGGCCATGTTTCACCAACATGCAAGGACATTCTTACACAAGTTGTCTCCCCTGACAGGGTACAGAGGGCGTTGTTAATCTCCTGCAGCTGGTGAAGGATGAAGTGGACAACGCAATGGCGCTTCTTGGTACGTTGTTGGATGGTCTCGAAATTACCAAACAATCGACACATTTCGTTAGGTTCAAGCTATCTTTAATCAACTTTGTACCAAGCCGTCTCGGTGAAGTTTTGACAATAGACATCCAGGAAAGGCAACACACTGTGCTTTTCTATGGACCTCAGCATTAAACATTTCCGACCAGTCATGATGAATTATATATTAGGTAATTAACATGTCACATATTAAATTCACGTCAAAGGTCAAGGTCATGCCAAGGTAATTTACTCATCAAATGTAGTTCATGAAATATAAACATCAGATATGTAATTATTATGTATTGTCTTAGATCATGTTACATGATTCATGCTGTATGTTTGACATTTGAAAGCCTTAGACCCTGATAACTCGAGAAATCTTAGATCTATTATATTCAGAAAAATAATTCAAGAAATATTGACATGCAGATGCTCCCGATATATATATATATATATATATATATATATATATATATATATATATATATATATATATATATATATATATCGTGTGTGTGTGTGCGTTTGTGTGTGTGTGTTTATGTGTGTGAACTTTTCCCTCTTCCATGTGGGTGATTGCTTCTCAAGGTCAAGTCCCCAGTTTTCATACACGTTTATGATACCAAACTATAATGAATTGTCCTCTTACGGACTGGTTGCTAAATACCCTTCTAAGACATTCCACTCAATTAAAAAAAATTTCTCTTTGGATTTATAAAAAATACTTGATATAAATTTTCTATATTGAACCATTTCCACGTAATATTATATCCTTTGTACAGTCCGTACCTCAACACAGTGGCGAGGGATATAGTGATATAATTATGTCGAGTTGCCAATTTTGTGAAACCCTTTTCAGGCGTTGCAAACCTAGACGAACTGAATCGAAGTCACGTGACACACGAGTCCCTGCTCCCCAAGCTGTGATCACACTGTGGGTTTGGTTAGAGGTGTGACAGGTTATAACACCCTTGCTACTGACAGTGATTGAGTTATTGTTGTTTTACGCCGCATCGGTTAGTTGGCAGCTATTTGCGGCTACGACACATGGATATCAGAACAGTGTTAATTTATATTGTAATCTCTTGATATACGACGATGAAATGTCCCTCAATGCAGACAAAATTGAACTGACGTGATTAATAAAAGTCGATTCCTTAATGTACTCTTACTTATGATTAATGTTTACTTCATTAACACGATATATCGCTAGAGACGATTTAACAGAAACTTTATCTCATGTAACACACGTGGAGTCATGTCACACACACTCCTTCCTCTGTTTAATGAAAAGGGAGTGATATTTTAAAAAAATATGCATGCATGTTGATAAATATTTCAGCTGAATTGGAAAAAAGTACACATTTTCTTTCGCCGTGATGCGCCCGATTAGGTTTGAGACGCTTTCCAATATCGCATTGGTTTTTTTTCAAATTGAAATCATTGTAAGAGTAAATACATTAAGAATTAGATGATAAACCAAATCTCGCCCTCGTGTATTTTGACCAAAAGAAGACCTAGATTCAAAACACATTTAAAAAAAGGCTGCGTTTTTTTTGCAAAACTCACCAGTCATGATAGATTAATATTAGTAACATGAAAACATCAGGCGTTCCTAAATTTCTATTGAGTAGTATATTTTATATCAAACAACCGTTTTCACTTATTGTGTAACATATTTTATGAAATTGTAAAGTTTAGAACACCTTGTAACAACCCTTAAATTCATTTATGACGTAGATCGAGTCGCTTTGCTTTGGAAGCGAAGTTTGAATAGATATAGCTTAAGCAAGATCAAGCTGACCTGGGTTTTTACCACACCTGGGCATAATTTTCCACAGCGGCGGATCGAAAATGCAGGGCGGGATATGGGAAACACGGAAAATAAATACCGACAGGCTAATGTGTGTATAACGAAAAATCATAATCAGAGCAAATCTGGGATTCAAACTCACGATCAGTCGAAGGGACGCAACTCCTCACAGCGGCGCATAATACTTCTGGGCTTCCGATGGCTAACCAGGTGCGCTAAATGCGGAGAGCGTGTCAGATCATACGACAAGACATTCGTGTCACTTGTCACGCACACCTGTCCCAATTACAAATTTTGAGTAGATCCCTGAAATCTAGTTCTGAAGTTGATATGGATGTCCATTATTAAGGCCGAAAACCGGAAACCGAACGGGCAAGTCTTGACTGGGGAACCTACGAAATATTAAACTTTCCCTTTGTAACATTCCGTTAAATAATTATCATATATTATTTTTAAAAAATCATTATTTAGTTATTATAGAATGATTTAGAAATATGCCTGTACAAGCAGAATTTGCAATACTCGTTCATTGCAAACTAATGTTTTTTTTATTAACCAATCGGGTACATAATTATAATACTCATTACCAAATGTGGTATATTCTGGATGAAGTGTGTTTCTTCGTTTCATCTTTGTTGCGTTGATTTTTATAGAAACTTCAATATGAACAGAAACTAAGAGTTACCTACCTTGGATCGTAACTATACAAACGAATGTTTTTGAAGCTGTAGTAAAATGTCTGTATCACGACCAACATGAATACAATAAATTGTTTATACACCAAATAATATGATAAGGACTATATTATCCGTATATTTGACACAACTTTAATCTAGCTAAAATTTGTAAGCTAGATTAAAGTTGTGTTTAATATGATGTACGATCGTAACTGCTGATTAAGTATATAAGAAAACATACAAATTCATGAATAACGAGTTCTGGTTTATAGCAAATAGGGACGTTTCGATAAAGATTCTTACATCGCTATCAAGCAGGAGTGACAAAAACCAAGTGATGAAAGGTATAAATGCATGACATGCTGTGATAAGCAGCAGATTAACATTGACAACAACGGTAATAGATAACAGGAAGCATACAGATAATTGGAAGAAGCCAGATGTACAGTAAGAATAACAAATAGCACACATGTAATGAAGCACACAGGTAATGAAGCACACGGGCAATGAAGCAGACAGGTGAAGAAGCACACGGGTGGTGACGCCAGATGTACAGTAAGGATAACAAATAGCACACAGGTAATGAAGCACACGGGCAGTGAAGCAGACAGGTAATGAAGCACACGGGCAATGAAGCACACGGGCAATGAAGCAGACAGGTGAGGAAGCACACGGGTGGTGGCGCCAGATGTACAGTAAGGAAAAGGATTGAAAGGATTAAGTAGTTGTGACAACCCGATTGGATACTAATTAAAATAGTCTTTTGATTAGATCTGGGGTAGAATAGGTCTTCAGCAGCCCATGCTTACCGTAAGAGGCGACTAACGGGATCGGGTGGTCAGGCTCCTTACTTGGTTGATGCGTGTCATCGATCCTAATTGCGTGGATCGATGCTCATGATATTAATCACTGGATTGTCTGGTACAGACTCGATTATTTACAGACCGCCGCCATAAAGCTGGAATAATGCTGAGCGCTAACCAAACCAAAACTTGATTAGGTCTTTATAGACAGACGAGATGTAATACCCTTGATCTCCGCTGATCAAGGTTTGTGAGGGCGGATTTCTATAGCTTCTGACATCTTCATCGCTATATGCAACAAACCAGAAGTTGTTATCAATAAAGTTGTATGTTTTCTTACATACAATTACTAGAAAATGCCAGTGAGTAAGCATAACGAACTACAAGAAGCAAAATGATATTTAACTACTTCATAGTGTCGAATACACTGTCACTGAACGTCAGTTACAGTAATTAGCATATATACAACTTTTTAGACGAACTTTGGAATATGTACAAATTAAGACTTAAAAACATACATGTCCATTCACTGTTTTCCGATAAATATGTAAGGCAACATGTCCATATGAATTTATAATGGTATCCTTTTTGATTTAAGAAATATCGGTGATTGAAGATCACGTGATACTATATTTAGACATGCAACATACGTGAGCCACGATCATATCACACGAGTTAGAAAACACCAATCCAAAATGGCCTACAGGACGCAGGCAGCAGCAGATTAGTAAGTACATCGTACCTGCGTAGTGACCATAGTCGTTAACGGATTTTCATAGATTATCAGTACATTTGATAACTACATACTACTTGACACTTGTCTATCAACTGAATTGAGAAATAACGCGGATCTTCGTCGTCTGATCGCTACACCATGTTTACAATGAGTGAAATGAAATGACTTGCATTTTGCAGCGATTTCCTTTTCAAACTGGTTCTTGTCGGAGACACTGGTGTTGGGAAGTCATGTTTAATGACGAGGTTTGCTGTAAGTATACATATATTGTTTGTCGGTTTGTATTTTATGCTATTTGGGGTAGTTTCCTTTTTGTTTATGGTCATGACGCATTTATCCGGGATTTCCCGGTCTATAAATAGCAAAGGGTGATAACAAAAGACGGATCGGATTGTGTACTGGAAAATAAGCATTTCCGTACGAAACGAAGTGAATAATACAATATTGTGCTGATGTTTCGATAACTGCTTTATACTTACTCCATAAAACAATGAAACACTCCAGATCAAGGAAAAGGAAGACAATAATAAGCTCATACGCAATTTGAAAATATAGGTACTTCTTTAATCATGTGATACATTTGGTCTGCTAACTTTATTGTTGTTATTTTTGTTGCTCCCAGGATGACACATTTTCCTATGATACAAAGACGACGGTTGGTGTGGATTTTGTAAGCTGACATTTTAAACCTTAGTTAATCTAGATAATCATACGGATTACATGTTATAGGATTAAATCTTAAAAAATAAATAATACATTAGGCAACAGGACAGTTCAAGTAATGATACATACTCATCTGTTTTCATATATTCGCCAAGTATATTAAACATATAAGATGTATCAGTTACTATATTTCATAAGTAATATGCAGTTCTTAAATGTAACTTCATGGAAAACGCCAATGTCTATACATATCGTTAATTTCATTATCACCCTAACGTTAGTGTTGAATGTGAATGTTTACATGGTATTGCTCTGCATGTATGATATATCCAATGTTTTCTTTCTATTGATTTCAGAAAATAAAAACAATTTTAGTTGACGGGAAGACAATCAAGCTACAGATTGTAAGTTCATCGTTAAGCATGGTTATACAAATTAGAGACTTATGTTCATATAGATTGTAACACATTTCCTTAAACGTATCACCCGTGAAGATCCGGGGTAGATAAGTCTTCAGCAACCCATGCTTGCCGTTAAAAGGTGAGTATGCTTGTTGTAAGAGGCGACTAACGGGATCGAGTGGTCAGGCTCCTTACTTGGTTGAAACATGTCATCGATCATCGATGCTCATGATATTAATCACTGGATTGTCTGGTCCAGACTTGATTATTTACAGACCGCCGCCATATAGCTGGAATATTGCTGAGTGCAAACCAAACCAAAACTTGATTAGGTCTTTATAGACAGACGAGATGTAATACCCTTGATCTCCGCTGATCAAGGTTTGCGAGGGCGTTAAACAACCAACCAACCAACCAACCAACCCAATTACGTTGATCGATGCTCATGATTCCAATCACTTGATTTTCTTGTCCCGGTTTGATTATTTACAGACCGCCGTCATATAGCTGGAATATTGCTGAGTGCGGCGTTAAACAACAAACAAACCAACCAATCTTAAAAGTATGGCATTGAGATGTTAAACAATCAAGGAAGAAATCTAAAACAATATTTGATTCAGAAAGAGTCAGTCTGTTATTCCTTGCTGTAGTGGGACACGGCAGGTCAGGAGAGATACCGGTCGTTTTCCAGCAACTTCTTCCGAGGGGCACATGGCATTATTCTGGTGTACTCTGTCACTCTTAAGGTGAGTGGCACTTCCACAGGCAGGACCAATCGTTCTGTATGTCTGGTCAAATCCCGTTAAGTGTTTTTGGTAAACGGGATGCACATGAGACTATATAAGGCGGTATAAACCGTAAATGATAATAGAGGTGGACACATTGTACATTAACAACCTCTAGAGGAGCACTCATACAAGATTTATGACACAATGTTTGAGACGCCAATGTCCATTTGTTTTACGACCCACTCTATATTTATTAAATAATGGAACTTTCTGATTCTCACCGAACGCTGGCACATCAAACCGAGTATGTGTTTGTAGGTCAACAATGAGGATTGTCTTCCTGTTTTTGAATGGCAATTGTCTTATTTTGATAACCCAAAGCTTTCTTCCGGTAGATACATGAGGTGGAAGGAGATGGTTTATTGATTTGTTTGCATCTGTGCTGATAGTCCCAGGCAATTACCGTGCCTATAAATAGACAATAACGGTTTATCGATGTTTTCATTTGTATTTTTGTTTTTGCTTTCAAGAATCTGAGATGGAAGGCTTTTCGCACAGAGTCGTAGTGAATGAATATGGTTATTCGAATTTCCACATTAAAGTTTTCATCGTAGAAATAATGCAGACAAAATCTTTCTAAGGCAATCGTGTCCACTAGCCAAAATAAAAGCTTTGTGGAAACTAGGCTTTGGTGTAGTCTAGTGGACATGCTTGCCTCGGGAAGATGTACAAGGCCGTACCCAATTTGATATGCTTAGGTTAAAATTATGTACACTTATCAAACCTTGAATCTATTGGGTTGTAATTCCCATGTGGTTGTTTACTAGTGAGTGAGTGATGTTTTGTTTTGCGCTTTATTTTATGTTTATTGACGGCGAGAAATGTTGGAATCACTTTAAATGGGTTAATAGAATTCCGGATAAGTAGATTCTTCTGTCCTTTCCTTGTATTGTGACTTTTTTGAAATGTGTGAAGGCATAACTGAGAATCATTGCTCATAAAGTATGTTTTTCTTCAGGATTCCTTCGAGTCAATTCCGTCCTGGATCGAAACCCTCAACAAGTCTGCCCCCGTGAATGTCTCCACTCTGCTTGTTGGCAACAAGAGCGACCTAGCAACAGAGAGGGTGGTCGGGGTGGCGTCCGGAAGTGTAAGTGAATTATGTGTGGAATGACGTCAGTTCCTGTCGTCAGTGTGATGGCATGACATAACATAACAATGTATCTGCAAAGTGACGAGGTATTTTATACTGATGCTAGTAAGACCGCAACTTCTGCCTCAGTCTACTTCTACAGCCAGCCTAAATTTTGGGATGGTGTGCGTAGCCATACTTCCCACAATGCTTTGTGTCACTACTACTACTACGACTACTACTACTACTGTTGCTACTACTACTGTTGCTACTACTACTTCTACTACTACTACTACTGGGCGGTCGTTAGCCTAGTGGTTAAAGCGTTCGCTCGTCACGCCGAAGACCAGGGTTCGATTCCCCACATGGGTACAATATGTGAAGCCCGTTTCCGGTGTCCCCCGCCATGATATTGGTGGAATATTGCTAAAAGCGGCGTAAAACCATACTCACTCACTACTACTATTACTCTACTACTATTACTACTACTTATACTTACAACTACTACTACTTGTGGCTACTACTACTATAACTACCACTGCTACTACTACTTCCACAACTACTAAGGCAATTACTAACACTACTACTACTGCTTAGACTCCTACTACTACTTGTCGTAGCCACTACTACTACTTCTATCAGTAGAGCAATTACTACCACTACCGGGGGACACGGGTGGCCCAGTCGTCTAAGGCGCCGCGATTCGCTGTGCAGAGTTGCGTCCCTTGGGCACGCCAGAAACCTATGATTTTGGGTTCGAATCCCGGTTCGCCCCGATTATGTTTCTAGGTTTGTCAGCACCATACCCGTGCTCGTGGGTTTCACCGAAGTAGTAAACGTCTGAGACCTGCATCACTTCGGGCTTTCCTCCCACATTAAGCTGACACGCCGTGATATTACTGGAATACTGTTAAAAGCGGCGTTAAACCAAACTCACTCAATCACTCACTACCACTACCACTGCTTAGACTACTACTACCCTGGCAACTATTGTTGTACACGATAATAACAGCAAAGGAAACACGATTCAGTTAAAATGTAACTTGTGTGTGAAACAAACTCGTTTGATAGGCAGAGTTCATGTATGAGAATGAGAGATAAGCTTCCATGTGCACAGTCCTGACTATTTCCATGATGTGACCACGTGGGTCTTGTGTGAAATTTCGACACTGTTTCATTGTTAGCAGTTAGCAGGCGGGTTCAGTGTTGCGTGAATGGCGAGATTTCAACTGGCTTGGACTGCCTATAGACCCAAGACTAGTGCCCCTTTTATTAAGAATGAGGTTTTCCGAGAACAAATAACACATATGTGAAGTTTCAATTACGTGACAACCATGTAAAGTCGAACCTCGCTTATCCGAAAACTTGCGTTTTCTCCCATATTGTGTTTCCGGATTTATGAATAACTTGTCAACTGACCAGAGTTACCCTCCTACCCAAACTAAACTGAGGCGCAAAAATCTCTATTATATATAAAAAAATGCGTAATATCAACACAGTGTCAAATGACAATGTCTGCCCAACTAACGATTTCGACATGTAACGTCTTTAGCACGTTCGTAAGTGTTAGGCTTATACATTGATGCCATGGATGAACTGTTAATGCAAATGGTCCATATCAATGTGAATTGTGCATTGTTCATAATCACGATGAATCTGGGATTTACGTCACTGGACATGTCTTTAATGATGCAAACAGTATTTAATATTCAATGAGAAAATACCTTACCGATTCTCACAATTGCAAACATTAATTGAATTCTGTTCCTTTACAGCACTGTTGACTGTATATTTTCCCTAAGCGCAGCATTTATCTGACTGCATATCGTGCGAACGTTAAGTGTATTCCAACTTAGAGAGCTGTGGTCAATTAACCAACATTAAATCATTGACACTTCGAATTATGCGCAATATCAACAGAGATAATAATAATAATAATAATAACAACAACAACAATAATGGCTAAGACGACGGTGATGATAACACTAATGTCGATTTTGTCCATGTAACCATTTGTGGGTAGGTGTACCAAGGGGCCTGTCTGGATCTTGTGAAGATCAAGTCACATTTAAACGTACCAGGTTACAGCGGCATCGGCTTAAGACGGTCGGCCTTTTACCCCCGAGCCGTAAATGTCCCATCCCTTCCCATTTCCGCCCTGTAATCTACTGTTTCTTGTCTATGTAATTGATTCGTTCTAAGTTATCTTTAAATCATGGATCTCGAGATGTGGTAAACACTGATTTGCGTTGAAATCGATCTCTCTAGTGGGGAATTAAAGAGGCGAATCACCCCCCTTGAAGTGCACAGCCTTCTGCATGCGTTGTCCCATTCCTAATGATTGCAAATCCATTCAGGACACGCAGCCATTCCACGTTATTTCATTATGTATGTCTGCTACAGGGGAACATTCAGGTTGTGATGTGAATCCTTGTGTATTTTCCCTCCTACGGAATGTCCGGGTTTACTAGGTACATGTACGTATGGTACTTTAAGATGTGTTTGTTTGTTTGTGGCTTCAAATCTACAATCAGCTGATTCAGAAGTTCTGAGAAACACTAGTGGAAAATGTGCTTCATATAAAGTGGTGTTAATGAAAGTAACAAAATAATATTTGGTCATTCGTCTGAACAATGTTTTATCATGACAAATTACTTGACAAATCCCATATTTGGTGAAGGGAGACAGAGCGACACCTCTTAAAGGGGTTGGTGTAACAACTCAATTAACAATGTCAGTATCGGTTGTGACCACCAGCTGCGTTGATACAGGCGAGGCAGTGGCGATGCGTTGAAGACACCAGATGATGGGGGATGTTTTTCAATATGTCAACCAAAGCCCAGCTGAGATAGCTATAGCGGCTGGTTCTGTTCCTGTCGTAGTCGTCGTTCCATCTCATCCGTGACATGTTCTGTAGGGAGAGGTCTCGAGAAATAGCCGGCCGTGACAGTACAGCAATGTTATTCTGCCTCAAATTGTGTGTTACAGTAGTACAGCATGTGGGCAGGCTTTATCCTGCTGCAACATCACGTTATGTCCCTGCATTTGCACAAAAAGGTAGAAAATGATCTAGAACGATGACATCCCGGTAGCGTACGCCATTCAAATTGCCATTAACAATGATGAGTTGTAATGCCAGCCATACCCCTACACTAACATCCCTAAACTGACGACGTTGAGTATCGCAAGAGCGACTAAAACGCTCTCCTGGCACCCCAGGGCCCTTGCACGACCATCTCAACGGTCTAGATGAAACTTTGACGCATCTGTGAACAGTATCCTGTCCTAGTCTTGTCCTCTGAACCTCATATGCTGTCTACACCAATGGCATTTTGCGTCAACAGTGTTTTAATGAGCACCTGATAGCTTCTCAATCATTGTGTGCTGTTCACATTAAAAAAGCCGTGTGTGAGTAGCATGCGCCTAACTTACAGACATCCGTACATCAACATTCACGTGCAAATTGTAAATGACGACCTTAAAGTCGAGGAGATGTCTTCATAAATATGTATTGCAAGAATAGTTAAACTAAACATAATTTCATTGAACTATATATGAAGCCCGTTAGTATATAACTCACTGCTGTCACCCATAAGAGCTGTTTTTTTCTTTCTTTTTTTGTTTGACACCGCTCTGTTTGTCCGACAGATATGTAAAGTTTTGACGAGCATTATATGCCATACCTTGCACGGGTAGTTTTGTTATGTAATGCTAATATAGACACATATTCGCCGTTTCACTCATTGCTCGTACAGCTACGTCTGTTGTTACGAACTCTTAACATGATACCATTATAATTATTTACGACAGTCAAAGCGCTACGTTATACAGGGTCTTGGCTGTAGTTCTGAATGTGCGCATATATATACTCTTGACTCTTTGTTGAAATACTCCCATGGTAATATTTGCACTTTTTATACCCTTTTTTCTATTCACACAAAGGCCTGCGCTGAGAAATATGGCATTTCATTCCTGGAAACGAGCGCAAGAAATGCTACAAACGTGCAACAGGCATTCGTCACCATGGCAACGCAGATCAAGAACAGAATGGCAACCTCACTTCCGGTAGTTCCGGAAATGAACGACAGCTTCCGGTTGGAATCGACACCTGTCAACGAGACATACTGCTGTTCCTACTTTTGATAAATAGTTGCAGGGATGAAGTTATCTCACTTTAAGTGAGGTTCCAACAGAATGGACAAAGAAAGTGTTGGATATTGGGATGCAATTTTGTGAAAGACTGATGATACAACCATAAGTAATTGGAGTTAAGTCTCGTCGGCGTGGTGGCCCAGTCGTCTGAGGTGCCACAATTCGCTGTGCAGAGTTGCGTGACTTGAACGCGATAGAAACCTGTGATTGTGAGTTCGAATCCCGGTTGGCCCCGATTATGTTTCTTGGTTTGTCAGCAGCTATCCTTTCTCCTGAGTTTCACCATAGCGGTAAACGTCTCAGATCTGCATCTCGTCGGGTTTTTTCCCTACATTAAACTGACACGCCGTGATATATAACTGGAATAATGTTACAAGCGGCCTTAAACCAAACTCAGTCACTCGTAGGCGTAAATCCACGTATTTTCAATATCTAGGTAGAGGCTATCCGCTCTTCGTTAATTCTGTAACCATGAAACAATACACACAACATACACTATACACATCCTTCCTTCTCATCTCATTCTGTATCTAATTTGGACGATATGGTAGCCGATTGGTTAAAGCGTTTGCTTATGAAACCGAAGACCAGGTTCGATTCCAAACTTGGATACACTGTACAAAGCCCGGTGTTGTTGTCGTTACTTACATAGGACTAAGAGCAACGTAAATGATTTACTGTTTCACCGTTATTATTCCTGTACAATTAAAACCTCGTTAACCCGAAATCTGTTATCTCGATACATCAGTTAAGATGACGGTCTGCGTGGTCATGTCAGAATCATTATCAGCTCAATTATATCATATATATTAGACCTCCGTTCCTATCGAAATGTGGATATCTTAATACCCAAGAACTTCTGGTAAATGTGGGGAGGGGCTACACATTGTTTTTTTACTCGGTTCTCGTCGGCGTCGGCGTCGGCGTTCCCATCCTATTCCGAGCCACAACTTGAAAACCGTTCTACATATTTCAACGAAACTTGGCATATGCATTGCTCATCAGCATAACTGGTGCCTTTGGCTATTTTTGGGAGGGTGGGGTTGGGGAGACATGTGTTTTTGAGTAAACACACATTCCAGTTAATACGACGTACAACAGAACAAATCACAGGGTAAATATTTCCATTTACGGCAGCATTTCCAAGCAACATTTGAACTTACGAAGAAACAGTAGCGTGTGTGTGAGCAGAAAACTCTGTGTATTTTTATGTATTTTTGTATAATCGTGTATGTACAATGTTTTGAATAATATAGTATAATCATTAACTTGTGTGTTGGGGACGGGGGGAGTTTGAAAGCAATGATATTACTGGTTAGCGATGTCATTTTCCAACGGACATGGTCAAACTGTTCTTAGGGACCCATCATTAAATATTCCAGGGATGGAGGTGGGGATGAGGATTGGGGTCTACGGGGATGGGTGTTTTTATTGAAGGAGATTGAATAATATTTTCGATCACGGCTTCAAGACATACATTTTTTTCTTCATTCTTTTTTTTTCTGCGCCTTTCCATGAAGGGTCAACCATCTGGTAATGCTCAAATACTGCCTATTTTCTTGTAATTCCAAAGGGTGTAAATATCCTCACAAGGCCACACTTTCACTGTCACATTGTCTTGGTTGGGTTGAATTAAGACACATTTTATGTTTCGTTACAGTTGACTGACATGTACCTTTTTTTCTAATTTACCCCTACGAAAGTAGTGTGGACAATTGAACATTTTTTTAAATTATCTCAAACAATATTGTATATTTCGTTTTTTGTTACAGCTGACTGGGTTGTATATATTTAAAAAAAAATGTATTATGCATCCGAAAAAGGGCTGATAGACAAATGGAATTTTTTTTACATGCGTGAATTGTTTTTGTTGTTACGCTTTTATCGTCATCCGAAAAAAAACATGTCATCAGTCAGAATTAAAGCCCATATGTTTTGTACATATGCATACATACATTCTCATGGTGTCCATAGGTCCATCAGTGTTTTAACCGTTTAGAAATGTACTGATTTGTGTCATTATCAAAAAGGACCCATGAAGATCCGGGGTAGAATAGGTCTTCCGCAACCCATGCCTGCCGTAAAAGGCGACTGTGCTTGTCGTAAGAAGCGACTAACAGGATCGGGTTCGTTGACTTGGTTGATGCATGTCATCGTATCCCAGTTGCGTGGATCGATGCTCATGATGTCAATCACTGGATTGTCTGGTCCAGACTCGATTATTTACAGACCGCCATCATACAGCTTGAATATTGCTGAGTGCGGCGTCAAACAACAAACAACCATTATCAAAAAGCAATAATATGTGAACTTGTAAGCGAGTCTGTTTATTAGTTATGAGGGTCAACGTACACATGTACCATTAACTATGTTGAAATTAATGGCCTATGTGTAATTAAGAACAATTCAATTTGATGAGTACTTATAAACCCGTCAGTTATGTAAATATGAAGATGGTATGTAACGTCTTACAAGGAAAGGGTATAACGAAACTGTATTTTTGTCTCCATATGTCCATGTTACCAAGTCATTTTAAAAAAATAATAATCATAAAACAATTTAACTCTCACGGCTTCATAATGATACGACTGCATTATTAGTACTGCAAAGCAAACAGGTAGGACATTGATTCTCAGTGACCTGTGATATTATTATTATTATTATTGAAATAAATATTTTTGTTAACCTCAAACAAATTTTGTCGGCATTTCTAGTATCATTTCAACAGGAGACTAAACGTCAACAATGCTATTTTGTTCGCATCCCGAATTAAGTCTACGAAGGATGTATACTTCTCGAAGTGAGCACACTGTCCAATATTGCAGGAAGTGGCTGGTTCTGAGCGTTCTTCAAACAATCAAGAAGAAAGCAATTAGCTCCAACTCCGTACAGCGAAGCTCACGTTTCTCAGTCGAATCACGGCCGATGTCAACAAGGGACGCAATGCTTGTACCAGGGGGGCTGTAGGGGCGTATCTGGAGCTCAGACAAACTCGGGAGTTTCCGGTTCCTTCATCAAGTCTGGGACAATCAGGCAAAGAAAACAAGTGGAGGATGTTGTCGGAGTTCCGTATCGCATACCGATTCTGAGAATTGATCTCCGAATTATCATTAGCCTACTTCACTCTGGGTTGTCTGATTCAGTTTCTAAGGAGGTCGTCATTCCAGTCCTCACTGCTTTCGTTCAAGGAACAATTTGCCTATTTTTGGTCTTGTGGAAAGAACATGTCATTCTGAACAAATATGTTCTTGAGACACCTCAGAAAAAAATTGAGTGACCATTTTTCGATGCTGGATTCTCTGAGTCGTGAAATCTGTTCCATAAACAAGGACGCTTCTAATTCTTTGAGTGATGCTTCTCCATGGCCTGTCCATTTTTCTATATCATTCCCCCTAAAGTTAAGTTGGTAGCGTTGTTTGTTATGAACATTATCGGTTTTATAACACTATCTTGCAATGTTGACAGTATTTGTCCAACCAAAACAATGTCCCAACGTTCCTTTTTACCCTTGAAAAAGGCGATATATATGCAGTTAAAAAAGATCAGCATATTTCGGGACAAATCGAATTACTCCGGGACGAGCCGAATGGCAAATTGCGGATAACGGAAAAGGCGAGTGATGATGAATAAAAACAAGAAAACTAGATCCGACCATGCGGAGTAATCTCCCCTTATTAGCGAATTATTCACATTTCCGTGCACAATTTGTACTGTCAGTTAAATAAATATGAGCTGTCGAGGCTTATTAACTTTGGGTAATTACTTCCAAAAAGGCTATCTCCGAGTCCAGAATTTGTATTCCACATTACGGGCAGCAAAAACATCATGTTTTCATGGAATACAGCTGTATTGGCTGGGACTCCCGTTCTCACAAGAGCACTTTCCGGTTTTCATGACTTTTCATTTCCTGGTAATCACGTACGATTTAAAAAAATGTATTTTCAAGAACGCGATATTCTGATTTGAAAATTACATCCCGCGTCATCGTCCTTTTTACAGCCATGAGAAGCTGGGACACTTGCCATTTGTGAAGCAATTTTCAAGATTCTATCGATTTTGTCAACGGCAAACTTTTGCATTGCTAGAACAATGTTTTTCGAGAGTTCTGTAAGGGTGCCATAATTTCCATTAACACTGCGAACAAATAAAGAGAAATATAAATATAACCTGTCACCTCGTATTAACATTTTGTTTCTGACTTTTTTTCCCATTCGATGGCATTAATTATATGTAATAAACATTCAGTGAAAGGAATTGCCAAATGCAAAGATTTTGACAACCATCCCTACGATCTATTCTAATTCACGCCTCGGATGACCATTTGAAAGTCATGGGACACGCATGACTATTTTCTTTAAAGAGTTACGTCCCTTAGGGGTACCGGATCCGATAGTCGCGGGTTCGAATCCCAGATTCGTCCTCATCAAGTTTCTAGGTTCGTGAGTATCAAGCCCGTGCTCGTGTGGTCACCTGAGTGGTAAATTGTCTTGGATCTCGATCACTTCTGGATTCCCCGACATTAAACTGACACGCTGTGATATAACTGAAATCCTGTCCGGGCTGGGGGCAAGTCGGAACAAGCCTTCCCATCAAGCCCATGACACAGGGTAAACACCCTGTTCGGAGGTACAATCACTTGGTTATGTATATACATTGAGTACCGTGTTGCAATGGCGGAATCCGATTCAAGTCCGAGGATTGATGATCGATTTGTGAGCAAACAAATTACCACTCGGCTCCCTGCTAGACTTGTGTCTGGTATGAGATTACTAACAGCGGCCCCGGCCATGTAGTGGGAACCCACACTATTATTCCAAAACAACTCAAAACATGTGCATGAACGTGGGATATTATTTATACCTGATATTAATATTATTAATTTACCATAGAATCAGTTTCGCTGTTGCTTGTTTCCTGCTGACGTAATCTACATAGTCTTGAGTGATTATCACCCTCTAATGTCCATATTTATCATACCCCGTATAATCCCGAGACCCGTGTAGATCCGGGGTAGAATAGGTCTTCAGCAACCCACGCTTCCCGTAAAAGGCGAATATGCTTGTCGTAAAAGGCGACTAACGGGATCGGATGGTCAGGCTCGCTGACTTAGTTCATGCATGTCATCGTATCCCAATTGCGTGGATCGAAGCTGATGATGCCAATCACTGGATTGTCTGGTACGGACTCGAGTATTTACAGACTACCGTCGTATAGATAGAATATTGCTGAGTTCGGCGTTAAGCAACAACAAACAAACAAACAAACAAACAAAACAAAGTATAATCCCGAGACACCCATATCCTACGAGTTTCACTTCTTGTTGGCGTGTACACATTTTGAAACTGATCGCTTTATTAAAATGTACTAATTAAGCCTTAGCGGTAAGTGGTAAGCCTAATTACCACAAACTACAACAATTATTTTTACTCCTAAAGGCTCAGTGTTAAGAAACCTCAGCAGATTTGTCTCCTGTATACTTAAAACAATCTAAACATCTATCTGTACTCTCATACTCATACGAGTGTCCTCTGTTAATCAATGACTTTCTTGCATTTATGTCGACGTACCACTGTGAGTGAAAAAGAGAACAATGTCAACAACAATGTCAATGTCAGTGTTAAACCTCAGTGTGGAATCACCTTGGTATGGTTCTAAGGGTTACATAGTTACATCTCACTGGATGTTTGGTTATAGCCTGTCTGACTAAAGTGGACATGTGCAGGCGAACTCTGCTCAGTTAGTGTCTGAAATGCCTTAGGAGTAAATCCACGTGCGTCTGCCTCCCCCTGCTCTCCCCCTCCCCCCTCCGTGTCCTTGATGATGCCAGAGTTCTGAAATTCAGTGACTCTGTTGCTGACCAGCCGATAGAAGCTGATGGACGTATTGTGTGGAACCACTTTGACACCTGGGTTCTAGGACCACCAACCACTTGGAAGGGTGGCACTCTTAGCTGAAAAGGTTAGATCCTAACCACCCCAACATCTACAAGTCTGTAGATATCATTAAGAAGAAATTAACAGTCCCGAACTGAGACGTTTCTGCTCCAAATTGTGGCTTGTGGCCGGTTGCCACCAAGAGAAGAAAATATCGCAACCCCGACACAAGTGTACGCAGTTAAAACAATGAACTTACGACCGGTAGAAATAAACTTTAACTGAGCACGTCGACGCTGTATACTAACCAACTTTGTTGGCCTGAAACGTGTTTGCAGATGTTTGTAGATATCAATCATTTAATATATTAACTAAATCAATGTCTTGTCCATTACATACCATTTCATATGAGTGATTTGTATATTTCAGAGTATGTATCATACAATGTTTGAAGATGTATGTTGACCTCATAAATAAAAATGTTAATTAAATCAATAATCATAATATATACTTGATTTTAATAGAATGTGTATCTTAATATGTCTCTTGCATTTTATCTTATCGTGTATTTTATCTGCATGTGTGTAATATGTATTAAAACTTATTCCTGTAAAAAAAATTATATTTGAGATAACACTTTCTTAGTAAAGTACAGATTCTAGTGCGTTTTGTGGTTGAGGCCAATACACAATTTACGTGATCTAGACTACCAGTTGTCGGATTTTCATATTTGTTTGGAAGCCTCGGTGGCTGAGTGGGTTAGATCGCTGACTTTGTGTGCTGGCGATCAGTTTGCTCACTATGACAGCGTAGGTTCGAATGCCGAATGGGACTCAACCCCATAAAGAACTGGAATCTTTACTTTACTAAGAACGTGGGTATCACAAAATATCTTAACAGTTGCTATCATCAAATGACTGGTAGACAGAGTGAAAAAGCGAACTGCACTTTGAAAATCTGTTTTAAATTGTTTGATGGACATTACTTAGAAGTTGACGGCTGACAAAGTTGACACAATTTATGGACGGCAACTTCTTTATTTAAGTGTAATAGCGACGTTTCGGTATAGATCATTATACGGTTGTCAAGGATCTCTACGGAAACGTCGCTATAACCGTTAAATAAAGAAGTTGTTGTCCATAAATTGTGACTACTTTGAAAGTCTGTATTGATTGGGTCAGTACTAACGGGGACAGCACAAAGAAAGCCCGCATGGGATGAGTACTTAGGAGGTAAACACACTGTGTGTTCAATGTAGAGCTAGGTTCTCTGTAGATTTAACCACGCTGAATTGAACGCGCAGCTAGGTAACTTGGCTCCACATTGACAACACGATATGTTTATGTCCATTCTACCAAGACGCGCGCTCTTTGATATCAGCAAATATAAGGCCTATAAAAGTTCCTGTGCATCACTGACTGTGGTGGGAAAATTAAATAAACGCAAACCATGAACGATTTTGAAACAGAACAATATATTGATAGCAATGAAACCTGAATTGTGAAACCTGCGATGACTGTGTCAACACGTCCTCTGTGTGTCGTGTATGAGAGAGAGAGAGAGGGGGGGGGGGGGGGGGGGAGGGAGTAGGAGAGAGAAGAGGGAGAGAGTGAGGGGAAGGAGGGAGAGAGAGGGAGGATGGGAGGGAGTAGGAGAGAGATAGGGGAATGAGAGAGCGAGAGGGGGAGAGGAAGCGAGAGAGAGAGAGGGAGGGAGGGAGGGAGAGAGAGAATTGTTTATTTGACACACGTTACAGAAGCTGTAATTATTAGTAAAACAATAAATGCATGTACATATCTACATTAAACATGACAAGGTT